CTTGTAGCCCCTTCAGGTACTGGGAGGCCACTAGAAGCTCTCCCCGGGCTTCTCTTCTCCAGGCTGAACAGCCCCAACTCTTTCAGCCTGTCCTCACAGCAGAGCTGCTCCAGCCCTCGGATCATCCTAGTGGCCCTTCTCTGGACTCATTCTAACTGGTCCATGTCTCTCTTGTGTAAATTAGCAATAGTTTGGGCTATTGATGTAATTTAATAACCTAATAAAGTAGCTGAGAGCGGACATTGGTAAATGGTAGTCATCCATGGTAGGAAATTAAGACACTATTTTATCACTCAGTGTTGAGCTTATTGGGATCACGGGTCAAAGCCCAGTGCAGGCACCCTCAGGGGCTGGCCTTGACTTTGGCAGTCTGCTTAAGGGCAGGGGGACTCACACCTCCGCGGCTGGGGACAGCAAGGCAGGGTCTGGCCCCCGTGCCCTGTGAGGGATGGGGTAAAGGCGTGCCGTGGAGCATCTGCATAACCATTTTGCTCAGCCTGGTGAGACCCAGTAAAACCTCAGCTCCTGTCTGGTTTCTGAAATATAAAGCTCTCCATCCAAAATCATCTGTCTTCCCCAAGCTCTTAAAAATAAAGTTCCAAACTGAGAACATACCGACACCACAGAGGTAGGGACTTATTATTTTCCAGGCACCGATGCTGCCCTGACGCATGCGCTGCCCCACGGCTAGCTCTAGGTAGAGCAGTGGCATCCCCTCGGCGATGAGCATGATAAAATATGGGATCAAAAAGCCACCTGCAAGAAAAACCCAACAGACAGCCTTCAGCAGATCAGCAGCATAATAAACAGCAGGTTGCCCTATTTGTGGTTAAATCGTCCCATTATTGTCCCAAGCGGTGGCTGGAGCTGGGTCTGTCCAGGCGCTTTGTGTACTGAGGGCACGGCCCAACCCTGAGGGACATCTCATGGGACTTCAGGTGGCATTCCAGATGCCGGTGGGCTCCAGGCACCTGAGTGCAGGGAATTTTCTGCAGGCACTTGGCAGCACTGGGATTTCTGCTGTTAAAATGTGCCGGTTGCCACCCCAGCGTGGCAGGGCTGCCCAGGTGCTTTGGGGGCGGTTTGAGCAATGGTCGGGGCTGGAGCTGTTAAAGGGTAACTAACCACCAGCCAAACCTTGGAAAAAGTAATGAGAGAAAGAGGATGATGGAAAGATTTACTTCATGTGTGGCAGAGCCAAAGCACTCAATGAAGAAGTAACAGCGACATCTGCATTGAATAGAGTTTTAAGTAACATATTGAAGCCTGGCCGGGTTTAAAAAAAAACCCAAACTACAAAAAACTCCCCCAAAAATCCATGCTGAGCCCACAAACACCAGCAAACAGGAGAAGGCTTTTTCCCTGGAGTCCCACCTGCAGGAGCAGACCCTGGGACAGAGGCACACGGCCTCTCCCTGCCCCACATCTGCTCATCCCCGCTTCCCTGGCATGGAGACCCACGGGGATGCTCCTGGAGAAGAGGAACAGGAGGAAGGGATGAGCAGGCAGCAAGGGAGGGGAAAGGACCTTCACACCCAGCAACCAGGATGCACTTCAGTTTAAATTTCTGCTGGAAAAAATAAATAAACAAGTCCTTGTCCTTGACTTGGAGATCACTTTAGAAAGAGCTGCTGACTGAGACAAAATTTGGATTTTTGCAAAGGCTTTCCTGCTTCCCTTTTTACAGCAAGCCAAAAATATTTACGTAAATATCTCTTATTTAGGATTTAATCTGTAGCATTAACATTCCTTGCAATGGGCTCGGTGCAGCACCGCAGAGGAATGAAAAACAGGCAGCGACTGAGGCAAAGAACTGGAAATAAACACCGAGCAATAATCCGGTTTATTCTAGGAATTAATTTCCCACCTCCCAGCTCTCTCATTATTAACAACCCCTTTGTTACTCTGTTAGATAACTTCCTACGCCTCGAGGGAGCTGCCGGAGGTCTCAGGGCTCCCGCGGCCGCTCTGTCCCGGTGGGGTGCGAGCTGCCCCAGCAGCTGCCCCGGGAGCCCTGCCCTGTGCCACGGGGGGAGCAGCACTAGGCCCTCCCAGCAGCGCTGCCACATGCTTGGCGTTGGCTTTGCCACCTTGCAAGGAGGAAGAGTGGCTTCAGGCTTGCCCTTTGCCCAATGTGCCCCCACAGCTGGGGGTGCCGGGGCTGAGCCCTCTGCTCTGCGCCCTGTTTGCACACAGATCTTGCTCCTGATGCTACTTTTCCTAAAGGGTAGAACCAAAATGCCTCACATAAGTGACTCAGGGCAGCTGTATGAACCAGCTCCTTATCTGCTGTGAACCAGCACAGCCCCACTGACCTCTCTGCTCACTTACACCCAGCGTTGCTCCCTGTGGTGCCAACTGCCTGCAAGAACCAGCCCCCAGCCCAGCCCCCAGCCCTGGTCCAGGCACCAGGCTTGGGCAGCAGCACCCTCACCTCTGCTCAGCATCCCACCTGGTGCCCGGGGGCTTCCTCACTCAGGCAGGAGCCTTGCTGAGCACCCGCCCTGCTGTAAACCCATCCCAGCGTCGGAAAGTCTGCAAAAACCCTGTTTATGAGTATCATCACCAGCGATAAGGGCTCTATTGCTCCGCTGGGCAGGACGGGGACTGGCTCTGTGCTTTGCTCCAAGGAAGATGCCAAATGAGCAGTCGCTGCCATCCTCCCTAAGCCCAGTGCCTGGCCTATCCAGCTTTTAAGTTGCTGAAACAATGTTTTGTCTGTGTGGGTTTTGCAGAAGTCTAGACTAAAGCCACTGAATCCTTTTTAAGAGGACAGTGAAAAACAACTGAGAAAAGCAAAGCCTGCTGTCAGGAGTTTTAGTTTCACAGTACAGAGGGCTGCCTCTCCCCTGGGAAATTTAACCAGGGAGGACAAAAGAAGTGGAGAAACTACTGTTATGAAAAAAACAGCTTGCTTTTCAGAAAATACTTGGGTTTATTGAATCTTTTCCTCTGGTTAATCAAGTGTTCCACTTTTGGTTACATTTCAGAGAATTTCCATCATCTACTACACTCTACAAGAAGATGATAAGCCATGCAAAGACCCCGGTGTCTGAGTTTTGCTGTCCTTCAGGATGTCTGCCAAGGCAGGCTGCTAGCAAACTAACTGTGTGTAGTTTAATTGCGCACAGAAACACTTGCACTAAGTTTTGTGCTAAAGTTCAGTGTCAGACGTGAGGTCCTTACCTTCAAAAGCATGTGTGTAGAGGAATACAGCCAGAACTGATGCATGTCTATCAATTCTACTATCTGAAACTTCTAAGAAAGCTTCGGTCACTGCAGCATCTAGCTTCTACTAATTTCTCCCAGTGTATTATCTGGATTTTTCTGACCTGATCCCACAGAGCAGCTCTGACACCATCCCAGCACCGAGCTTGCTTTTCAACAACAAGGATGAACCAACTCCTACTACCACACGTGCATTTAGAAGTAAGTTTCAAGCAAAAAAAAAAAAAAACCAACAACAACCAAGCACAAAACAAGCAAAAAGCACTTAAACATCTCAGTGTGTTTCTTCCTGGAAGCAAGAAAAGGCAGAAGCAGATCAGAAGCAAATGAGGCAGATGCTCATCACATCACTTAACGCACAGCTGAGATGAGTCCAACACTACAAGTGTGAGAAGCAGTACAAAACTGGGATGTCACGTAAAGAGAGGCTCTTGATAAGGATTCTTCGAAACTTGGTCATTAACCATACAGCTATAGTGGTAGCTGTATACTAGAAGAGATTACTAGTGTTGGTTTTTAATTTAATCTAATTAATTGACTTTTTATTTCTAAACAAGATTATCTGTGGCTGGTATATGATATAGACATCATCTTTCTCCAGTTTGGACCTAGGAGAGTGATAAACTTTCAAAGACCTTTTTTTTTTTTGGAGCCCAAACCAATTTATTCCCCGTTTTCAAAACTTCCCAGGAGGCTTTAGCTGTGGAACTCCTGTTGATTAAGGAGTTTCAGCCAACTTCAGGGCAGATTTGCAGTCATCACCTCCTAAAGTAAGGCTTTCTATAAAAGACAATGACAGCAACTTGAAATGATACAGCATAAGCATTTCCCTTTCTCACTATGTTCCAAGTGAACTAACGAGGAACTGAACTAGTTGCTGATGCCTTCAGAGCAGTTCAATGGGGCAAGAAAGTAATAAATTAATGTTGTGTGGACCTACATATCACTCTACCTCCATCCTTTCAGAAAACAGGGGCCTTCCCACTGTTTCACTGCACTTCTATGAAATGAAAGCTGTTGCATTGGGGCAGCTGCCCGGCAAGAGCCTTGTGATAAAGAATATGTAAAATAAAGCAGCAACAGAAGCGATTGCACACCAACAAAAAGCCCGACCTCCTACTCTGCCCCGGACTCTGCTGGGTGGACAGGGCATTAGCTGGATTTAAAGCTTGCCACACTCCTCCTCGAGGGAAGCAAGAAACATAAGCCACACTTACCTCCTCCGTACATCTGACATAAGTATGGAAACCTCCACACATTTCCCAGCCCCACAGCATAGGAAATACAGGCGAAAACAAACTGCAGGGGATTGTCCCATAGCGGCCGGGATTTCTCCATTCCCTGCTTTCAGGCAGAGGTATCAGCAGAGCCTTCCTGCCTTCACTCCCTCAGGTACTCTGCCAGCCCTGCCCCAGACTCCACGCCAGCCCGGCTTGGAGGGGAGGGAAAGGCGGAGGAGCTATGCTTGCCAATTCCTATCAAGCTTTTTAATTACTAATCTTATTAACAGGCACATACTAAAGTAGGAATGCTGGTAAATAGATTATAGACACACACAGAACTATAAAATTGGTACTTTGGTGAATAGCTGCTTGCATTTTGAATGGCATTTCTGGGAGGGATGTGAGCCCAGGGATTTTTATCGGTTTGTGTGCTGACTTGACACAGGGAGGAAATAACACTGGGTCTGCAGCTCGATTTGGGAAATGAGAAACTCCTTCCCCCCAGGGCTCTCTTCCCTGGCAGTGGCATTTGTGTGCGTGAGGTACCAGCTTGGGTTTGATGGCACAGGGAAGGGGTTCCCATACCATTAGGACTGGGCTTAGTGGCTGTCAGAGCTGGCTTTTATTCCCAGTGCCCCTTGCCCTAAATGGGTCCTTAGGCACCCTGTCACTTGCACCCTGATGCTCACTCCAACCACCACAGCACCCTCCCCAGTTCCAAAAGCAGCCTTGAAACAGTCCCTATCAGCCATGCAGGTCCCCAGCCTGCTGCAGCCTTAAGTACCACACTCAAGCTCAACCCTCCAGGAACACCACCCTCCCTCTACATGCAATCCATGTGCCTGTGAGAGCGTGAAACAGTCCAGTCTTTTTTCACTTACCTTCATGTTCAAACCCCACTGCTGACAATTAACTTTTCTGAGGGTTCTTGTCTTAAAATACTGTTACGTGGCAGGGACCAAATACACACAAAGGGAAAAGGTGTCTGTGGCCTGTTGCAGAGGCAGAAGGACCAAGGAGGCCTTGGGTCATCTGAACACACACCAAGATGCCAAGTCTGAACGTGAACCCTGTGTGCTTGGGCCCCTGCCAAAGTACACTTTGAGCTCAACCACTTCAGACAGGTCTCCCAGTGAAGGAGGCTACCAGCAGCGTCCGTAGCAATAAAGAGGGGCTGAACAAGCCCAAGGACTCAGCTTCCTTCCTCTCTCTAAGTGTGGGTTTTTTTCCATGCCAGGACTGGACACCTTTCAGGCCCATTTCACAAATAAGACCCACTCAGCTGCTGTCAGTCTCATTCCTCCAGTGCCAACAACTTGCTCCTTGCCAGCGCTGTGCGTGCTGTTCCAGCATCCATCAGGCACTGGCAGAGCCGAAGCATCCAGCTGTGGGCATAGGTGAGAACCCCGACCACAGGGCCTTTGGACATGAGCCCAAACTGCAGAGTGTGCCATGCAGCATTGTTGACACCAGCAGAACCACTCTGGTGGACTTGCTGACCACTGACCTGTAGTAGTGAAGTCACAGAGTGGGATGTCACTTTTTTGCATGCTAGAAAAGGTGACTACAAAAGGTTTATGCATCTCACAGAATCACAGAATGTTGGGG